TTTTGTCTTTTTATATACCTTAAGCTATACATATAGTATAATATAGTATATACTATATATATATATATATATATATATATATATATCTTACTATATACATAGTAAGATGTATATATATTTATATACTATCGAATATGGCTTTGAATATCTCTTTACAATATTTTTATCTTTAAATTTGAATATCTCTTTACAATATTTTTATCTTTAAATTTGAATATCTCTTTACAATATATAANATATATATATATATATATATATCTTACTATATACATAGTAAGATGTATATATATTTATATACTATCGAATATGGCTTTGAATATCTCTTTACAATATTTTTATCTTTAAATTTGAATATCTCTTTACAATATATAAGCTTTGAATATCTCTTTATAATATTTTTGTCTTTAAATTTGAATTAAAAAATTTAGGTGACAATTCTATAATATAATTTATTAGGAATTGCCTTAGATATTTTTATTACCATTTTTTTTCTCTAACTTGTATAAAAATAATTTAAAAAATAAAAGGTTTTCGTTGGGCCCATTTGGGCCCGCTTAGGACCGTTTGGTCCCGCTTAGGCCCGGGACCGGCCCACTTAACACGGGACCGCTAGTTCGTGGTACCGGACCGGTTCCAACGAGAAGCCCGCAAAACCCGGAACCGCTTAGGACGGGCCGCCTAGGACCGACCCACTTAGGACCGGGCCCGCGAAGCCCACTTAGGACCGGGCCCGACCCACATGCCACCCCTAGCTAACTTTAGTTTAGGTATTTCCTTTCAATATTTGTAACCATTTCAATTTTCTTAATACTTTATCAAGGAAAAATAGAAGAAAAGAATATAGATCAAGTTTGTTTTTTTAAGAATATTGTATACGGTCAAAATCGGTTTCGACCTTCGTGCGATTGGTCGAGATAGGGACATAATGTGCCGAAGAGCGTCTTCATAATATCGAAGCCAGGTTACCGAGCTTTGAGTTTCGGGGACCGATCAAATACCGAGCTCGAAGTCATTATCGAGCTCGAAGCCAAATCGAATTATGATGTGAAGCGGTGTTATCAACTTTAAGAGTCAAAGATCGACCAATACCGAGTTCGAGCCAAATATCGGGCCCCGAGTCAATATCGAGCTCTAAATCTGAAGACTAATCAGTATCAAGTCCGATCAAGATCGAGCTAAGAGATAAGAGCCGTTACAGCCGCACCGAGGGAGAGAATTTGGGCGGGAATTAGAGAAAAGCTAATCTATCACGGGTTCTCCACTATGTATTCTTAATTATATCTAAAGGAGGATCCCTCCACTATAAGAGGGATCACTATTATTTCTGTAAGGCAAGATCTATTAAGGCATTCATATACTATAACTCAGATACTACAGAGACACTCCCATATTGAGAGATTATCCTTTTGAGCTTTATACATTGATTTATCTTGCTTATTCATAAATCATCCTCCATTCAACTTTGTTTGTATTATATTTTTTACAGTTAATATTCGATATTTCTGCCTATCTTTATGATTTGTGTTAAGTTATACCACGTATCCTTAGAACTACGTATAAATTCAACTCTATCCGTTTTTCGGATAAACAAATATAAATTCTCATCTCTTTTTCAACTTCAATTAAATGTTGTCAAATCGTAGGAGTAAGAAATTTCTATAATTACCACTTAGCATAAAGATAGGTTCCAAGTCAAAAAATCCTACTCTTACTTATATAAAGACGCCAAATCGGCTGTCAAAATCCAATTCACACGAAGTTTCTCCCATTTTGGCAAGTCCATTATTGACAGTACAAAAACGAAAATTCCCCCAACTCCCACAAAATATACTCCATCAACTTCACGTGATTTAATCGCGCGTGGTACATTCGTCTTTTCAGCTTCACCCAATCAATTCGCTTCAGCTTCCGTGTCACTCACACACATACCTTAAAAAACCATTTCTTAAAAGACCAATATCATAGTTTTCAGTTAATTGGCTGTTTGCTCAAATTTTCAAAACCTTTTTATTTTGAACAATATATTCTTTATTAGAAGTACTTCTCACAAAAATACGTTTAAAAAGTAATAGTTTGTGTTGATTAATAATTTGAAACACTTTGTTAATATTAGAGTAATAATTTATACTTGGCAATGCTTTTTAAAAGTACTTTAGGAAGAATTTTTTTTTTTTTTTTACGCAAATACATTAATTTTTATGAAAACATTTTGAAAATTAATGTAAATGCCTCGTTTTAAATTATAAATTTTAAAAGTATTTTCTTTAAAATAGGCAAAGAGTGAGTAAATAACTTCACGTGATTTAATCGCGCGTGGAAAATTCATATTATCAGCTTCACCCAATCAAATGGATTCATTTCCCGAGTCAGTGTCACACACACATCCCTTAAAAATCCCTTTCTCAAAAACACCAATACCACGCGCTTTGCTTTCACATAAACGTACACTGCCGTACACGGCATTTTTCAACTCACACAGCTTAACAACTCGATCTCCCCTCTTCACTCTCCTCTCCACCATAATATATACTCACAACACACACACAGATTGCTCTCTCAAGCTTTACTTCGAGGAGCAATTGAGAAGATGAGTACTCTTTCAGTGGCGCAGGTAATTAGTTCTTCTCTTTTCGCCTTTGTATATATGCATTTAGATATAAGCTTTTGATTAAATCAATTTGATTTTGTTTCTTTTTTTTGCGTTTTTTGTTTTTACTATTGACCAGGGTTTTACGAAGTCGTTGGCGATGACGGTGTTGTCTGAGATCGGAGACAAGACGTTCTTCGCCGCTGCGGTGAGTTTATTGTAGATTTAATTGCAATTAATTACTTAATTCTATGGAATTCTGTTTAGTTTTGACTGTTAGCTGTAATTTATTCGGAAGTTGCGTTAGTGAATTATAATTTGTCTTTAACGACTAATAAATTAGAAGTACTTTGAACAAAATTTGGTCGAATGGCGTGGATAAATATCAGGACGGATCCAGGATTTTAACTTGATTGGTAACCTCTTGTACTTTTAAAATAAGTGTTCAGAAAATAATATATATTAAAATTTTAATGTTTTTTCACATATATATTCATGTTTCGTGTCGAAAATAATGATAACTACTAAGTTATGTCCGCCACTGGTAATATAGGATTCGTAATTGCTGACTCAACTAGTTTGAGATTGAGGATTGATTGATTGATATGTGTATTTGAAAATGTATTGGATTGTGAATGGAAGCTGGGAGCTCAAGAGTGAGGTTAAAATGACTTATGTGGTATTTGTGCTGGTCGGAGGTAGTAGGTACCTGGTGGAATAGTCGAGCTTTGGTCCCATCATAAAAGAAAGATTGAGTTAGCTGAGTAAAACAGTTTGAGCCTTTGAGGTTTGATCTATGCAAGGCGAATCATGGGGTTCTTATTTTGTTTTATTTGTAAGTAAATCATGGAGTTCTTATTTGCCAGAAAGTAAAGCTTTTTTTGAGACCAGGATAATATTTAAGCACAAACTAATTAGAAAGCTTGATTGAGCTGCTGCTGTTTTGGATTCTGAGATTTCGAAGTTAGTAATAAGTTGTGTCAACTGCTCGGCTCACCTAATATTCAAGTGAATTGTTAACACTTCGTAAAGTTAGAAACTTTTTAGGCTCTTCTGTAAGTAGGTCCTGTTGATTTCTTTGTTTCGTATTTTTTTCTTCTTTAATCTACTCTTGTTTAATTCTTAAATATTTTTTTTTTGGGGGTGGGGGGGTTGGAAGGTTGTTCAGAACTGTAAAATCATTTTCTGCATTTTTAAGTTATCTAGGAACGAACTTGTTTCTAAATTAGCAAGTAGTCCTTGTTATCTTTACTTGTATTTGGGAATCTTAGATTCTTAAAGTTGATGGCACTAGAATCACGAACAATACAGTGGACTGAGGATGAATTCTAATCTTCTGTGTTACTCTTCTCCCAGTTTTTAATAGTTTGTCAATAATAATTATTTACTGCAAAAAGTAGTTCCACTTCAGAAGAACAAATGCAAAAAGGAAGAAGATATTCTTCTTTATTTGCCTCCTCCCTGTCCATCACACCCTCCCAAAAAGTCTGCCTGGTTCATTGCTTTCATATGTCAGCGGAAGCTACTCTTCCATTCCTAGTTTTTCCCTTCATCCAATTCTATGTGATTGTTGAATACCAAAATGTCTTACTCTTTAGCTTGCTGTGGACTTCATTAATTAGTGTATGTTCTCACCAAAACCAGTAATTAGTTTAGAGAGAAGACCGTATCATTGCCTCCTTGAGCTATGCAAAAATAAACCAAAAATTATTATGTAGAAATTAAACCAACCTATCAAAAAACTTAATTAGAAATTAAAACCTCTACCAGTACTGATGAAACCCATAGTATCGCACTTTCCGTATGTACAGCCCACTTGCATTGCTTCTTTATCTTTTAACAGAAAGACTCTATAACACATTAGTGCTGTTAATTGTGAGACTTAACTTGCGGTCCATCACTTTTCTTGCAATAGGTTGAGTTCCATATGGCTGAACTTTCAGATTATTACCTCTTTGTGGAAACTATTTTTGACATTCAACTCTTTAGCTGCTTCTTTGTTAACTAAAAGGTTTTGTGATGTTCTCATTTATTCTGATGTCCTCATCTTCAGCACCTTTGTTGTTTCTGTTATTCAGAATGTTCTCTATTTTTAGTCAGTTTATTCAGAATATTCTCTAATATTTACCTTATTGTTTTGACAAATTTAAATTTCAAGATCTTGGCAATGCGCCACCCAAGGAGACTCGTCTTGTCAGGGTGCCTTGGAGCTTTAATTGTAAGATTTTTTGCACCCTTCTATCAGTATTTGTTCCATCTATTTGACATTCTCTTCTTTATATTGTGGGCAATAACAATCTCCTGAAAATTGTTGGTCGCTCTAGGTAATGACCATTCTGTCTGCTGTTGTTGGTTGGGCTGCTCCCAATTTGGTGAGTTCCATTTAGTTGCAATTTTGAGTACAACGTTCTAATCTTAAAAAAATAAGTTATTTTTGAGCAAATGTTCTAATTTTGTATTTCACTTGAGCTGTCTATTATATTTGATGTAAAGTCATAACCAGAACTGGAAATATACATTTCTCCCGTTCTTATATGAAATGGTTATACATCCTAGTTTGTTCCGGTAATTGAGACATTATGTCCAATAACAAAGACATTGCTGTGTGCTTAATCTCAAGGTCTGTGCCTCACTGTTAGCTAGTGATCAGTTCTGAGAAACTTTAAAAGTTATCGTGTTTTTGTTTTTTTTCTTTTTTTTTTTTGCCATGGACAAACTCCACTTGCTAAATATTTGCTTATTGTCATAGGCTGTATGCACCTATAATAAAATAGCATGTGCTATATATTATAAAAAATGAAACTGTATCATTTTAAAACTGGTAGTAAGTCATCTTAAAGGCAAAAGATAAGGGAAGGGCCGCACCCCAAGGGTGTAATGTAGACAGCTTACCCTAATGCAAGCATTAGTGGCTGCTTCCACGGCTCGAACCCGTTGCCTTTAGGTCACACCGGTAATAAGTCATCTTATGCATCTGTTATCTATATTGGTTTCTCATAAATAGTGGTTCTTGTCATGGATTAGATGTGTATGGGGTGCAGTTGGAGTAAATCAGATGAAGAACAGTTATTTCTTGTTTATTCAAGTTCACTATCATGATTAGCCTATCATTATATTTCCATGCAATTTCACATGCTTAGGTATCAAGCACTATGTAATCTGCTCTAAATTGTATCTGTTTTATTTGCACGACATAAAGTTTATATACACTCCCCACAGGTCTCCCGCAAATGGACCCATCATATTACAACATTGCTGTTCTTGGGATTTGGAGTATGGTCTTTGTGGGATGCATTCCATGATCGGTAATCATTTGGTTCCTGCTTGCTTCTGATTATACTTCTTCTGTAAATCTCTAATCTCTGTATCCCTTCTATGCTTCAATTGTTTTTCCATTAGTCTAATTCTAATTTCATCCACAGGGAATCTGAGGAACTGGCTGAAGTTGAAGCAGAGCTGGTCTGTGTTTTTCGAATCACCTCTTGCCATACATGAATTTTAGCTTTTCTTATTTTAACTTTTATGGTGCAAGTAGGACGCGGATATAACAGCTAATGGTGGAGCAACCAAGGAGAAGAATAAGGTAGCATTCCTGCTCATAGTGTACATTGCATATCTTTTTTTCCTTTTTTAAAAATAATTTTGGACTTCTCCAACTACCCAGATCCTGCCTCCTCTGGACATAGGGCCTAAAAATGATAAAAATGACAAATCTGTTAAGAGAAGTAAATTACCAATATCTATGTCCAACAGCCTCCTTTCTGCCTCCCCTGGACATAGGGCAAAAAAAGAAGAAGATGAAAATAACAAATCTGTTTAAGAGAAGGAAAGTACCAACCTCTTCCTCCAAGTCTTGTAGCAGCAATTTATGCTCCCTCTGTCCCATTTTAACTGGCACATTTTCCTGGTTAGTCTGTCCCAAAAAGAATGACACCTTTCGATGAGATGATTTATAGCCACACAAATATCTATGGCTTGTTTTAGACCTCAAGTGTCAAGAATATTTCTTTTTTTCTTAATCTCCGTACCCAGTCAAACGGAGGGAGTAAGTATCTTATTGCCTTTTGCAAATGCTTCTGAGTGGTTACAGTGATCAAGATTTCTTTTTAGTTATGAATGTTGTTCCTCTAGCATCTCCCTGTTTGACATGGCTGTTCTTTTGTTTTTCTTCCTCTTCAACAAGTACACTGATAAATCTTATTGGCTGACAACAACCTAGTTCTTTTTCTTTCTTTCGTTTTTTAAAGAGACTAAGCTTACATTCTCCAACTTGCTCTAATTCGTCCATCCTGTGTGCCGATTTCTAGACCTTTGTGTCACATACCACCTCTTAATAGTCCTCCTTGTCTAGTCACTATTTTACGGATTTCAGTTTGGATGAAGGATCGTGTTTATGTACTCACTGCCTATTTGGTTTTGGTTACTTCTTTTCTGTGTTTTCAATTTTTGAGAATATATTCTTCCCGTTGAGGCTTTCTTGTGCATGTATTTTGTTCCTCTACATTTCTGACCTGAGTCATCTTATATTATATACGGGAAACACGCTCAAACTTAAGGTTGACACTGCCAGTGATGCGACACTCTCAGAGATTGTTCCATTTTGCTTTTTTGTTACTTACAAACCATGCTCTAACCAAGTAGAGGCTGGTCTCTGGGGAGCTTAATTCACTTGTTAGTTTCTTAAGTCAGCTCCATTTGATCTGCTAATTTGTTGAATATCTGAGAACTGTCCATATACAAGTCCCATATTCAAGAATTAGATCAATAAATATGTCTTAAGCGAAGGTCTCAGCTTATCAAAGACGTATTTTCTATCTCCGGGCTGTCTGCTGTCAAATTCTTATTTTACGAATTTCCTAGTTCTGATAAGAAAAGTTGTAAGCTTGCCACAAAATGTACAAGGGACAATTACCGTTCTCAATAGCTTTAACAATGTTATGTTTTGCTAGGATTCTGACGAGTTAAAGAAGCAGAGGCGGCCTCTTCTCACTCAATTCTTTTCACCCATCTTTCTGAAGGTTAATCTCTGTATAATAGCTGCCAGAATTTTTCTTTTGAAGGTCATCATTAATAATCAATAACATATATTGCTCTAATTTTGCAGGCATTTTCAATTACCTTCTTTGGTGAATGGGGTGACAAGAGCCAGGTATGCGACTACATATCATGTAAAGTAGCGTTTAATCTGCCTGAGGTAGCTCCTAATGTTGTGTGACAATTTCTCAGCTTGCTACCATTGGTTTGGCTGCGGATGAGAATCCACTAGGAGTTGTTCTTGGCGGAATCTTGTAGGTTACTCCTTAACATAAAGCCTTTTCTTATCAACTTGTTATGTTCCCAGCTATAAATGTCATTCTAATATTGCTTTGCGGCTCCTATGTCGCTCCTGAAGTCAGACATAGATGTCAAGAAATCTTTCTGCTGATTAGTATTTATATTTGTCGAAAGGAAAAAAATGTAAAAGGGAAAGACGTCAGTTGTAGCTCTCTCAACACATTAAGGACATAATTGAGGTCGAAAATTGGTCCGATGCACAGTTTTATGATGTAGTTGACCTTTCTCAGGGGACAAGCTTTATGTACTACAGCTGCTGTCTTAGGAGGGAAAGGCCTCGCAACTTCAATATCTGAAAGAATAGTAAGTGATTTAATTTACTCCTGCTCGATTTTACCCTTATGTTCCATTTGTCCATTTTCATGAGAACAGAGTTGTTGCGTGATGTAGGTGGCACTTGCGGGTGGATCACTTTTCATTGTTTTCGGAATTCAGTCCTTCCTTTCAACAGTCGAGTAACTACGGCGTTTACCTTATGGATAGTCGCCCTGTTCTCTGGTTAGTCTTTACTAGTTCCTTTATGCTATGCATGAGACAAATTGATATTAACACAATACTCAAGTAAATGCTATATTGTTCATTTTCTGGATAAGATACAAGATTGATCTCTACCGTTGTTAAAAGAAAGATGAAAAAGTACTGCATGCAACCGTAGAACAATAAGCAGCTGACTCGTTTTAGAAAAAATTGCCTGTGTTTGATGATGACGAGTTTGACACTGGAACATTGCTTTCATGCAGGAAATGAAGGATTATGCAGCTGCATATCTCGTTTGGTCAAGTCCTCAATATGAAGGTACAACAATTATGTAAAATCAAACAAGTTGGGGAATGCTAATGCGGTTAGATATTAATTTCGTTAATTTAGATTAAAGCTCCGGATCTGGCGCAATGCAGGCCAACCACTATTTTTAACCCCCTCTCAACTGAAACCCAATATGCCGACAACGTGCAATTTATAACGAAATCTTCAGGCACTTGCTTATATAGTACGTGACTTTTGCTCTTTGGATGGATAATGGACAGTATTGCACCATCTTTTATGGCTTTTGTTCTTCAATTTCTGTGCATATATTTTGGGTTCTACTTGGGGTATCAATATACCCTCATTTAGGAAGGGATATTTCAAATCTCGGACCTTATAAATTGGCAATATGAGGTGATGAAAAGGGGCGTACAAACCGAATTGGAAAACCGCACCAAACTGAAAAGTCAAACCAAACCAATTAAAAAACCTGACTAGGTTTGGTTTGATTTGGTTTGGTATTGAGTAAAAAAATCTGAACCAAACCGACATATAAATATATAATTTTTTATATAAAATTTTATTTAAAAGATGTCTAGAAATATTTGAGATCCTCTCATGGGATATAATATTTTATAGAACTATAAAGTGCATTCATTTTTATTTACTTTAAATAATAAATTGTATCACTTTCTTATTATGTGTTATTGAAATGCGTCAATCATTTCTTTGTTCTTTCATATTCATATGTCAAGATTTATTATATGTTTTGAAGTAGTATTTCGATAATCTAAAATTACATAGAACATATCATTATTTAGGTACGTATTCATTTTTAAGTTTAATTATTAAATTTGGTTAACCCTGAAAGCGTACATCAACTAAAAATTATTGGTAGACGACTAAGAAAATAAATTATTATGTGTTACTAAAAAACAAATCTCCCATAAGATCACTTTAATAGATCATATGTTTGTTATTTTTTTTTTATTTTTAGTAAACATATATTCACTTATCAAAATTTTATCTATAACTTTAATAATGCAAAATTGAAATAATATTCATGTAACAAAAAAAACCTTGAAAAATTCGACAAAATCGAACCAATCCAAACCGATATAATTGGTTTGGTTTGGTTTGGTTTTGATAATATCCGAACTAACCCAGTCCATGTACACCCCTATGATGAATGAAAGGAAAGGGATTCTCTAATCATTTTGTCTGCATTTTAGCCGAATTATCTATGTATTGTGGATCATATATTACGCTTATTCCTTGGTTTTGTCCTCTTTGTCTAGTCAAAACGATTGTTTTGGCCAAGCAAAAGGACCTTAATTTTAAAGAGAAATATGAGGTTAATAACTGGAAAACAATTTAGTGAATTTCGACATTTCTAAGGCTGGCGTTTTATCATTAAAAACTGAAAAATAAAGGAAGGATGTCTCTTCTTCAAAGGATCGCCAAAGAATCAAGTAATTTTCCACTTAAAGGTATGCATGTGGATGGGTTGAAACTTGAGTTTCATATAATTTGACGTAACAATGATACAGAACTAAAAAGTAGAATACAACAATATTAACTATGCTTCAGTCTCAAATAAGTTGGAATTGACCGTATAAATTCTTGCTTATTTCTTTAAGCTCAACTCATAAAGAAAGAAGTGAGGATTCATTCATCATGTAATATAGTTTAACGAGATTCATGTAAACACAATTAGTTATGTATGAATTTCGTGTAATAGATGGTGGTGAAATGTGACAACTTCTGTTCGTATTAGTTTTGGACTCGAAGCTGAAGATGTGTTACTTCAGAAAAGTTTGTGTTTGAACGTGGTTTCAGTTTCTACTTTAGAAATTATTAAGTAAAACAAAAAAAACAGAAAATAGAAGCAAAGGAAAAAATTATATGGCACCAAAAAACTTGCGACATTGTTCACTACTCTATTCATACTATTTTGTTTGACATTATTTCCTTATTAGTCTGCTTCCATAAAAACAAAATTTTTAAATTTTTAAACAATCAACTTTTAACTTCCAATTTTATTATTAGTGAGAAACTCTAATAACCATACATATAACAATGTTATGACATGTTTAAGATCACAAGTTTTAAAAGTCTGATTACCATACAAATGTTTGTCGTCTTTAAACTCATAAATTTAAGAATCTTCATTTCTTTCTTAAATTTTGTGTCGAGTCAAACTGTACCGAACAAATTGAAACGGAGATTGAGTCTTCCAAACAAATACAACTCTATGTCGATCCCCAACACTGAGAACTAATGACAATCTTGAGATATAGTGGTCTTCCAGTGAAATACGTAGAGACACGATAACCTACTCATTGGTCATAGTAATCATTTATCGAGTTGAATCTTTGAATGGTAGTGTTCTACTAGTACAGTAAATCTTTCTGTATGATGATAACATGTTTGAAAAACAAAAACAAAAACAAAAAACCTCTTATTTCAAGATTTACAATCTTGTACTTATGGATTAATTCAATTAGAAAAGGAGCTCGAATTCGCAAACAGGCCATCAGCATTTTTAATTGTCCCAACATTTTGATTATAGGAAATGCCATTTGGAATTTGAAACAAATAATTTCTAATTTGAGCTATCTATGTACCATGTTGAGTTCAGAATATATCTTTCATGTTTTAATCATTTTGGAAGCTTTTCCTTCCTACTTGGTTTCGTAAACGACGTGATTTTTAGTGTAACAAGTAGCAACTCAGCAAATCTCATATCGATAAAATACGAGAGATGTTAGGACATAAGAATATAATGAATCAAGCCCTTGAATCCTAGTGACGTAATTTTAAAATTGTGCATGCTTAGATTCAAGACGATAAATATCATTAGTGGATTGCGTTATATATACTCCATTCGGTTCACTTTAATTGATTTTTTGGCGTTTTCACACATATTAAAGAATCCAGCTTTTATCATTAATTAACAATAAAATTGACTATATTAACCTTAATTTGTTCATTGAAAATACAACAAATACTCCTAACCTCTTTAATCCAATGGCAACTTTGAAAAAAAAAAGTTAATTCCTTCTTGATGTATGAAAAAATCAAATATTGTGGATCACAAAAAAATGTCGAAAAATCAATTAAAGTGGACGAGAGGGAGTATTGTATTAAAGCCGCTCCACATGCAGCAATTGTGAAACAAACTATAGTTTCTAACAGAGTATAGACCGTGAATTTTTAAGGGGATGTATGTAACACCCAATCAAATTTCATATCCGACAAAACACAAATGAGATCGATGTTGCATGTATAAGAAAATAAATTTTAGACATTATTGACACGTTTTAAAGCCGTGCATGGAATAAATAGAGTTCGATAATGACTTAAGCAATAGGTTCGGTAATGACTTAAGCAATAGGTCACCGATAGACTTCCATTTAGAGTCCGGAACCAAAGTGTGGTTCTTTTGGACTCAAAGAATCATAATATGTGGAAAAAAACTGGGTACCATAATATGTATAGCGCGGTTAATCACCGTACTATATTTTAACGACACGTTTGTCCGTTAAAGTATAGCACGGTCAATAACCGCACTATACATAAAAGTTGGGCCCACCAATAATTCTTGTATTGAATTAACTGACACACCAATAATTCATAAGGTATAGCGTGGTCAATAACCGCGTTATACATAAAAGTTGGGCCCACCAATAATTCTTCTGGACTTAACTGACACACCAATAATTCATAAGGTATAGCGTGGTCAATAACCGCGTTATACATAAAAGTTGGGCCCACCAATAATTCTTCTGGACTTAACTGACACACCAATAATTCATAGAGGTATAGCGCGCATATTTAAGGTGCTATACACCAAATAATTATACCCCCAGACTGATTTTTTTCCTTATTTAAAGAGTTTCAGAATTTTGTAAAAATCCATTCAGGATCCTTTAAGTCTTCCAAAATATTTGTTCGTTAAGTTATTTTGTATTTTGTCATAATGTCTGAAGAGCGGAGAATTAGGGTTTCATTATATTGGGGGGGGGGGGGG